CCATCAGCTCAGACACTGATGTGCACATCTGTCCATCACTGTCTCTGTCTGCAGCATGAAGAACCTTCAGGTCTGGTTTCTGCTCGGGGTGAGACCACTTCTCTGCTTCGTTTCCTCTAAAACAGTTTTATTTACATTTATTTGAGTATTTTTCTTATATCTAAATGTTTTTAAGTTTTGTTGTTGAACGGTGTGTTGCTGCCTGATCATTACATCATCTTCATGTAAAACATTTAAAAAATAACTTTTTCTCTCCAGTTCTTTAAACTCAGGAACTCTGAGCAGGTCTTGGTCGTATAAAGATGTTTTCTGATGATTTCAGGTTCTGGTTCTGGTTCTGGCTCCTGGGTTCTGCTGGCACGACTTGGACAACAGCGAGTACGACTGCTGGCCCCTGGAGCGACCCAACGACTCCAACATGATGGACTGTGGAGGTGAGTAAGCTGCTGACGCTTCGTCAGGACAACACATAAAAACTGAAGTCTGGATTATCTTTTTAAATCAGTTCATTAATCCTGAGATTAAAGAGATTAAACATCTGAAACTCATCCAAGTTTTAGACTTTTTCAAATATTTCACTTTATTTTGAAAAATCCCCCATAAACAACTTAAAATCCTCTTTTTTTACTTCTGCTTCAGCTGCTGCTTCTGGTTTTATCTTCTTAACTTTTAGCTGTTGTTTCACTTTTAGCTGTTTTTTCACTTTTAGCTGTTGTTTCACTTTTAGCTGTTTTTTCACTTTTAGCTGCTGTTTCACTTTCAGCTGTTGTTTCACTTTTAGCTGCTGTTTCACTTTTAGCTGTTGTTTCACTTTTAGCTGTTTTTTCACTTTCAGCTGTTGTTTCACTTTTAGCTGTTGTTTCACTTTTAGCTGCTGTTTCACTTTTAGCTGTTTTTTCACTTTCAGCTGTTGTTTCACTTTTAGCTGTTGTTTCACTTTTAGCTGTTGTTTCACTTTTAGCTGCTGTTTCACTTTTAGCTGCTGTTTCACTTTTAGCTGTTGTTCAGCTCATTTTAATCAGCGTTTCTTCGGCTCTCAGCATCAACACCATGTTTTTTGTATTTAAAGGAGATGTTTGTGCAGGTAAAGGGTTTATTGGGTCTCTGCAGGTCTGGAGATGTCCTGGCTGCTTCGACCWCCAGAGCTGGTGAAGACCGGCGAGGTGTTCACCGTCGTCTACTCAGTGACGGCCCGGGACTCCTTCTACCACTGGGCTGTCCAGAACCGCATCTTYTCCCAGAGGTTAGCTGGTTCTGCTGGGTCTGACTCAGACCCCAGGATCAAATCCTGTTTCATTCTGGACCGGTTCTGTGTGTTCAGCTCCATAACAGACGCAGCGTCGGCTCGGAGGTTCTGCGAGCATCACGAGTGTCCGTCCAGCTGGAAGGATGCTAACGGAGAGAACTGCTGCATCCATCACGCCAACATCCACTCCTGCCCGCTGGGATACATGGTGAGAGGAGGAGCGGTCCGGCCTTAGCTCGACGAGCTCCTTCTGTTTGATTCTGGTCAATTATGAGAGCAAACATTCTGTCCTTTCACAATAAAAGTCTGAAGGTCTGTCTCCCTCCCTGAGCAGACAACAGAGAGCATCTGTGGACCCTGGATCCCCGATGATGGAAAGATCTTCACCCACACCATCTCCACCTCGGGCAAGATGAGCCAAACCAACTGGACCGCAAAGGTACCAGACAGGTGGTTCTGTGGGTCAGAACCAACAGCTGCTGTTTACACATCCATCAAAATTAAACAAAATGTTTAAGAAATGTTTGGGATGTTTAAATTATTGATTTAAATTAATAACATTTAGATGATTGAGTTTAACAAACAGTAGTAAAGTTACTGACAGTTACAATCCTCTGAATATGAACATTAAAACGATTAAGTGTTGTTTACTGTTGTAGCGCCCCTTTGCTGTAATGGCATTAATAGGGGCTCTCCTGAGTTCTTTAAATAAAGTGGTATCTCTACCTTTAAAATTGGTGTTGTTTTTGCACTGTCACTAATTTCGGTTTTGCAATAATAGTAAGAAGAAAATTTAATAGTTATTTTAAAACACCAGTTTAGTTTCTCTGTCTTTAGACTCTTAATGCACCAATACAATATTAATACTAACAGGTAAGTAATGTTCAGCATTAAACACACACTTTAGTATAATGTAACAACAATTTACTTTTTCCACACAAATAAAAAAACAACAATACACACAGAATCAAAATGTTTTCAACTTAACTTAAAAAAAAAACTAAAGCCGGCACTCACTAAAACTACCCCAGTTCTCCACGTTGCAGGCCTGAATGTAGCT